TGAACGGGATCAATCGTCCGGAAGAGGAGGAGGCCCGATGCACTTTGAACCTCGATAGTAGAGTCAGAGACCACAATCAGGAAGAGGTGCATGATATGTACATCTCAATTTGACTATTTCGAACTGTAGCCGTCATGTCATCAACATGGCCCGACACAATGGGCAACAGCTCAAATTTTTGTAACTAAATGCAGAGCACGAGAATAGAAACACGTTTCCCCGGATAAGCTAAAATACCACTTTTCCACAACAGAGAGACAGCGTGCGCTTAGTGTAACTCAAAGAAGTGTTTCAGTTCTCTCTCTCTCTTCCTCTCGCAATTCTACCCCACATCCCTCATGCATCGATGAACGAAAACAGGGGATAGTTTAGTAAAATGTTTTAGACCTGGTTGAGGTTGTATCGACCACATTTTCACTCGCTGTCAAATCCTAGAACACAGACACTCCTTTCGTAGACCCACCATTTCTATCTTCCTCGACTTGAAAGCGGCTTTCGACTCAGTCGACCGCCCTAACCTCTCGCGCTGCCTTTCCTTGAAGGGTTTGCCCAAAAAGTTTATTTCATTACAATCCATCTACAATAATAGCCGCAGCCAAGTCCGAGTTCACTACGGAAAGTGGGGTTCGTTTAATTTTGTTATACATTTAATTCTTGAAACAGCCCTTTCCTTGCGCGAGGACAGTGGTATCGATTTACTTCAAGATGGCAGACTGTCTGATCTAGAGTATAGAGACGACATTGTGCTACTAAGTGAAGATCCAGGTAAGTTGCAAGCTTTTCTGGATAGCTTGAATGCCAGCGTAGCCATGTTCGATATGCGTTTTGCACCGTCAAAGTGTAAAATTTTGCTACAAAATTGGGTTGGTCCAGTCCCCAACCTCACCATGACCGGGAAAGTCGTAGAGGAAGTAGACAAATTTTGCTATCTGACGGACTCATCACAGATGAACTGTCGGCACGCATACAAAAGGCTCGGTTGGTATTTGCCAACTTGAGACATTTGTGGCGCCGTCGCGACATCCGGCTGTCTGTGAAGTGTCCAATGTATGCTGCAGCCGTTCGGCCAGTCCTGCTCTTCGGTGCAGAGACTTGACCTCTACGGGAACAGGATAAAAATAGATTGACGGTGTTCGAACACAACGCTGTCTACTTAGCATTGCACGAGTCTGGTGGGGTAACCGGACGAGTAATGCTGAATTTCCTGTCAATATTCTAATTATTATTATTATTATTATTATATTGTTTTACCCAAATGAGCAACCGAAATTGAGCAACTAAAACCGGCACACGAAAGTGCATGGTTAATGATTGCAAGACTGAACTGAACTAGTTAAAGTGAAACTACAACTTTCGAGGGCAAACTTACGCGGCCCAGTTCCGGTCCACGATCTGTTTGAACAATCAGGCGCAATCCAAGCACACCGAGTTCCGTCGCATTGGCACTCCATTCGCCTTGTTCGGTGATTTGACCACGAGCTCGATCTGTATCAAACGCATCTTGGACGTGTTGGAGCCAGTCACGCATCATGGTGAGCCAAACCTGACGACCAGCGAGCATCACTCCGGGAAGTTGCAGCAGTCGCGCATATAAGTACTGCAAACGGCGCTGTTGCATGGGAAAATCGATTCCCCGACCTACGGTGGCCACGTTTGTGCCTGTGCGTGTCAGTCCACCGGGGGATGCCAAAACACCACCAGAGACAGAATCGACTCGACCAGTTGAAGTGGTTCCCATCCGCAGCAAACGATTCGCGGAACTTGTTCCGGTCTGTGACACGGCAGATGCAACTGTAAGCGGTGAGGAGGCAGACAATGGGGCTGGTCGGGATCCGGGTAAATCGGTGCCACGAGCGACCAGTTGAAAATTGTACAAACCGAACGCTTTTTCCGACGCCTTGACAAACCCGTATTCGACTGTGTCCATTGGGGTCAGACTAGCCCAATCTAGGCCTAAATGCAAACAACAACGTAGTATATAGCCTGTCACAATGAACAGACTACAACCCAGTAGGCAAATCACCACCTGAATTGACCAATGATAGGTGAGTAATAGAGCCAGACGCCGAGAAAATCGGACAAGCAGTGAACTGGATGGACGAGATGAACGCTCGATCATACCGATTCGACTGACCAAAGTACGACTGGGCGTGTGGGAACGAGAAGCATAGTGATGAACGGACGTTTGAGCGACTCCACTGTCCGGTATCTCTGAATGAAATTGCTAAAAAAATGAGTGCACGAAAGAAAAGAGAATGACTGGGAATTCTTGTTGACGACAGAGGCCAAATCGAAATAGTACAATCTGTCGGAATCGGTTCACACACAAGCCCTGATGGGAAATGAGTTTGTCTCAAAATCATCCAATTGTTCTCGAAATGTTGCGACAAACAAAATATCCAATATCGGGAAGTTTGAGAGGAGGGGCATAGGATTATCGAGATCAATGAAACCAAGTACATCCAAAGCATGATTCGAGTGATTCAAATAGGCCGGGAGGGGGTAAGTTGAAACAGAACAACAACAACAACAAAAACGCCAACAACAAGAAAACAGTTCAGACAGGATGGAGTGTGATTCTTAGTGGTATTCGATCCCTGTGCTCTATCAGCTCTATACGGGTTGCCTCCATCCGCGGACAGACTCGTTCACTGGCGCCAAACCCAGTTTCGTAGTACATGCACGAGTGAAACACTATGGCTGAAACACTGGAAAAGTGATTGAACGAATTTTTCTCGCATCAATTGCAGTTTTATGACTGGCCACTAAGCTTTCGCCTTTTTTGTTTTAAACTTCCTTACAATCAATTTTCGGGAAGGAAAGCAGACAATCCAAAGGTAGGCGAGGGCGGTAGTGTGGCGCTAAAACACACGATCCCCCCCCCCGCCTTTCCCGAGGGGATGGAGGAATAGGTTGAGGATCTTAGTTAATCGCTGGATTGTTCACTGTATATCTCAAACCTGGATACCCTCGAGTTAAGCAGAGCTGAATGCTATCAGGCACGTCCCCGGGTTGTGGATAGAGGGATACCTTCACAGAAGACGGTTAGCTGTGAATAGGTTGTGGCATAGCGCAACAAATAATAAAGAGTCACGAACAAACAGAGGTGGCACTAACTACCAGGGTATGGTGTGTTTCAGGCTGGTCACCTATCTGGCGTCTGTTTAAAAGTCGCATACGCCCAATGACGGTGTCGTGACAACAAAGGTCTATTTGACTGGCTTTTTGAAAACTAAAGTCATTGACCTCCTCACTTCCGAGGCGAGGAATTACTTCCTGCTGCCTTGCAGTTTGCACTTGGTTGTGCAAAGGCTAGAGGCGTACCCTCAAAATAAAAAAGAACCCTGGGGATGTCTCTCGTACCAAACTCCCAAGGAACTTCATAATCATGATCGTGTCTGGAGCTGGCTTCTCCTTTCCAAAGAGCCAGCCGCAGTAAAGTAAAGTAAGTAAGTCCCAATGAAGAAAATAATTGCAAATAAACGGGGCCAAAGAAGTAATCGGTGTTGTTGTCGACTCCCCTGTCCCCCCCCCCTTCGCCGGGCAATGATAGAAACCTGAAGCTGTACTTACCGTGACTGGGCAACACTTTTTCACACGACCGGCACAGGGCACATCCCGTTCGGATCCGGTCGATTTGGAAACACCTGGGATGGTGTTGGTCGTAGTGGCAACAGCAGCAGCTAACGACGACGACGACGAAGTCGTGGTTGTTGTGTTTGTCACAGTTGGTGCATTTTCGCCCAACCCTTGCACAGTGACTGTGGCATGCACGGTGTGGCTGCTACCCAGAGCACATGCGTGTTCCGTGCCACCCAAAGTGGAACAGGTAATATCGGTGATGTGATCCCGGGGCATTGGAGTCAGGTGATTGATCACATTGACTT